CATCACATCAATAAAAGAAAGGATAAGAACCACATAATCCTCTCAATAGATGTAGAAAAAGCATTTGACAAAATACAACGTCTTTGCTTAATAACAACCTTCAAGAAAGTAGGGATAGAAGGAACATACTTCAAGATCATGAAGGCCACATACAAAAGACCCACAGCTAATATCATCCTCAATGGGAAAAACTGAGAGCTTTCCCCCTAATGTCAGGAACACAACAAGGATGTCCACTCTCACCATTGCTGTTCAACATGGTTTGGAAGTCCTAACCTCTGCAATCAGACAACAAAAAAAATAAAGGGCATGCAAGTCAACAAGGAAGAGTCAAACTTTCACTCTTCATAGACAACATGATACTCTACATGGAAAACCTGAAAGACTCCACCAAAAAACTTCTAGAACTGATACTTGAATTCAGCAAAGTTGCAGGATAGAAAACCAATGTACAGAAATTGGTTGTACTTCTATACACCAATAATGAAACAACAAAAAGAGAAATAAAGGAGTTGATTCCATTTATAATTGCACCAAAAACTGTAAAATATCTAGAAATAAACCTAACCAAAGAAGTAAAATATTTGTACACTGATAATTATGCAAAAGTTATGAAAGAAACTGAAGAAGACATAAAGAAATATAAAAACATTCCATGCTCATGGATTAGAAGAATAAATATTGTTAAAATGTAACAATATACACATTCAACACAATCTCTATCAAAATAACCAGCATTTTTCACAGAGCTAGAGCACACAATTAAAAAATTTGTATGGAATCAGAAAAGACCCCAAAGTAATCTTGAAAAATAAAACCAAAGCTGGAGACATCACAATTCTGGACCCCAAGCTTTATTACAAAACTGTAATCATCAAGATAGTATGGTACTCACACAAAACAGACACATAGATCAACGGAACAGAATAGAGAATCCAGAAATGGACCCACAAACATATGGCCAACTAATCTCTAACAAAGCAGGAAAGAATGTCCAATGGAAAAGACAGTCTTTTCAGCAAATGGTGTAGGGAAACTGGACAGAAACATGCAGAAAAATGAACCTGGATTACTTTCTTACACTATACACACAAAAAAATTCAAAACAGATGAAAGACCTAATTGTGAGACAGGAAACCATCAAAATCCTCAAGGAGAAAACAGGAACAACCTCTGGCCTCATCCATAGCAACTCCTTACTTGCCTAGAGGCAAGAGAAACAAAAGCAAAAATAAACTATTGGAACCTCTTCTAGATAAAAGTTTTCTACACAGTGAAAGAAACAATAAAAACTAAAAGGCAACTGATGGAATGGGAGAAGATATTTGCAAATGACATATCAGATAAAGGCTTAGCATCCAAAATCAATAAAGAAGTTAACAAACTCAACACCCAAATATCAAATAATCCAGTGAAGAAATGGGCAAAAAACATGAACACTTTTCTAAAGAAGACATCTAGATGGCTAAAAGACACATGAAAAAATGCTCAACTTCACTCATCATCAGGGAAATACAAATGAAAATCACAATGAGATACTACCTTAAACCTGTCAGAATGGCTAAAATTAACAACTCAGAATATGACAGATGTTGGTAAGATTTCAGAGAAAGGGGAACCCTTTTGCACTGCTGGTGGGAATGCAAACTGGTGCAGCCACCCTAGAGAACAGTGTGGAGTTTCCTCAAATAATTAAAAATAGAACTCCTCTATGACCCAGCAATTGCAGTACTAGGTATTTTATCCAAAGGATACAAAATACTGATTTGAAGGGACACATGTGTGTCGGAGGCTGGCTCCGGCAGGTTCAGGGGTCCCTGAAAGATGGACGGTGTTGGCGAGAGAGTGAGAGAGCCCGGGAGATTCTTTCTGATCACCAGGCAGGCATCTCTGCTCTGACTGGGGCTCAACTTTAAGTGTTTTGGAGATGGCACAGAAGTGGTATTTGCCTTAGACAATGATTTCTGATAACAAACTTCTTTGATATGTGAGAATTTCCCAGAACATAGACTTGTAGGACACTCATGCATAACCTTTATCAATAGTGTTTGAGGTAGGGGATTTAGATGCTTATCTTATGGGGAAGGAAGGCATCTTTAGCATACCAGACAATGTTTTTAGCATAAGAGGGTGAAGTTACTTCTCTGTGAGCAGGGGTCAAACAGGTCTTTCAGGAGATACCTTTGCTCTCATAACCACAAAAGAAGTTCCTCAATAGGTTCCTTCACAGGGAGCAATCAGCATATACAAGGCCAGAAAATGCTCCAGGCAGAAACAAATGGGTGGGGGTAGATATTTGCCCTTAACTCTAAATTAGGCTCTTTGCCTCAGGGCCAGACTCAAGTCCCCTTTATTATGTAAGTCTTGGATCTTCAAGACCCTTAGGAAGAGCCTTTTGACAATCATCCACAATGCTATCATCCGAAGTCTCTTTGGAAAGGCAAGGACATGCCTTTCCTTATGAGCAATCTGTGTGGGGAATATCGGTCTGATCTGGAATATTGTGAGACCTGGTCAATACCAGCAGCCTCATTTCCAACATGAGCCAGTAGTAGCAGAAGGAGATACCAGTTTTCGTTCCTCATGGCAGGAACTGTGCAAATACTTGCCATTTCCTTGAGGTGACTGCCATCCAGAGAGGCCGGTGTGGCTCCCGGCACATGCACCCCAATATTTATAGCACCACTATCAGCAATAGCCAAATTATAGCAAGAGTCCAAATATCCATTGACTGATGAATATATAAAGAAGAGGTGGTATGTATCTATATATGTACTATATATATCTATATATGTGTATATAAGTACCACATATACCATATATAATACCATATATATACCATATATTATATATATGTGTATAAATAGGTAGATGATAGATATAGATGATAGATAGATAGATAGATAATGGAATATTACTCCACAATCAAAAAGAATGAAATCTTGCCTTTTGCAACAACATGTATGGAACTAGAATGTATTATGCTAAGCAAAATAAGTCAGAAAAAGACAAATATCATACAATTTCACTCATATGTGGAATTTAAAACTCAAAACAGATGAACAAAGGGGAAGCGAAGGAAAATAAGATAAAAACAGAGAGGGGGGCAAACCATGAGAGACTCTTAAATATAGAGAATAAGCTGAGGGCTGGTGGAGAGGAAGTGGGTGGGGGGATAAGCTAAATGGGTGATGGGTATTAAGAAGGACACTTGTTGGAATGAGCACTGGGTATTATATGTAAGTGATGAATCACTAAATTCTACTTCTGAAACCATTATTACACTATATGTTAACTAACTTAGATTTAAATAAAGTTTTTTAAACAAATAAATAAAAATTTATACAGTAAAAAAATTTTTACAAAGCAAGTTTCTATCATTTGATATCCTATGTTGTGCAAGTATGTTCTGACCTCTATTGGCATCCCAAATATGGCTAGTGGAGAATGGGAAATATCTGCTTTCTCAGGAAGATTCATAGTATTAATAAATTTAAGACACTACATCCCTCCCCATTCCATTACACATAAAAGCATTTCATCAAGTGTAAAAACTAACATTTTTTATTTTACCAGAATAATACATTTCTGAAAATAGAACAAACAAAAGTTCCTCTCCTAAAAGAGTCAGCCCAAGAATTTCCAAAGGTACACTATTAGCTGCACACCAGAGCTAAGTGTTATCAGTTATTGTACAGGGTAGCTTTGGAGTTAAAAGATATAAGAAATATACTGATAGATGGATGGATAAGGAAGATGTGGTATATTTGTATGATGGAATATTATGAAGCCATAAAAAAGGATGAGATTGTGTCATTTGCAACAACATGGGTGGACATTGCAGGTATTATGCTAAGGGAAATAAGTCAGACTGAGAAAGAAAAATACCATATGATTTCACTCATGTGAAATTTAAAAAAACAAAAACACATGAATCAACAAACAAAAAGCATAATCAGACTTGTAAATACAGAAAATAAACTGATGTTGCCAGAGGGGAGAGGATGGAGGATGAACAAAATGAGTGAAGGGGAGTGAGAACTACAGTCTACCAGTTATAGAATAAATAATCACAGGAATAAAAGGCATAGCGTAAGGAATATAGCCAAAGGTATTGTCATAGCATTGAACGGTGACAGATGGTAAGTTACACTTGTGGTGAGCACAGCATAATGTAGAAACGTATCAAATCACTATGTTGTACATCTGAAACTAATGTAACATTGTATGTCAACTATACTCAAAAAATTTTTTAATTTTTTTTTTGTTTTATTTATTTCTGAGAGAGAGAGAGAGACAGACAGCATGAACAGGGGAAGGTCAGAGAGAGAGGGAGATACAGAATCTGAAACAGGCTCCAGGCTCTGAGCTAGCTGTCAGCACAGAGCCTGACAAGGAGATCGAACCCATGAACCATGAGATCATGACCTGAGCCGAAGTCAGACGCTTAACCGACTGAGCCACACTCAAATTTTTTAAAAATTCCTTTTAAACTATAAGGAATACATAAAGGAACTATGCAACAAATTGGATGAATTCAAGAGCTTTTCCTCTTTTATCTTCTAACATAAACTTAGCAATTTAGATTATTCCAATGGAAAAAGCATTGGGTAACTGATTTAAACTGCCCATCATAGTTAAGTATGTATTAAACCCATCCTCAACATACAGCCTTACCTCTGGCTATAACAACTTCAAGTTTCACATGTTGAGTTACTTGAATGGAGTCTGTCAGTTCCTCTTTTGCATACGGCCTCCCTTCTCATTATTAAATGCACAGTGCTGAACTCATCCATCCTGAGACCATACTGCAAAAAGCTCTATTTACTTGCTTTACCAGAACTTCCTTTTTTAGTCATCATTCCATTCCCTGTTTTTCCATGTAATCTAGGTTGAGTATCCATGCAAACCAAGCCCCAAGTTATCTCCAATTAGTACATACCAGAACTGTGTATAAGGAAAATTCCTGTCTGGAAAAAGATTATTATGTACATCCTTACCATTAATACACCAAAATTTGTTGTATGGCTGCAGGAACAGTAGAAGAATTCATCAGTGCCCTTCTGTTTGTGACAACCTTTTGTGTCCCAATCCTTTTTTTCCAGATTCCAATAGACACAGGCATAAGAATAAATTTGGAAATTTTTGTGGTCATACTGTCAATTGAAAAGACAATTACAACTGATTTCTTTTTAAATACTTAACCAGGTAGAAAAAATCAAATAGGAGAGGATAAGCATACTATAAATCAATTAGGTATGTACTAAGTATAACATCATCATTATAGATTAGGGAGGTGGGGGAAGGATATGAAATTCAAATTAGCTCATTTTGCATTTAGCTAGTCTGACAAAAACATGGGTGGGAGAAGGTGTAAATGAATATTTTCCAAGAATCTTTTACAGAATTTTCCTGTTAAATCACTATTGTACACATGAAACTAATATTACACTGTATGTTAACTAACTGGAATTGAAATTAAAACTTTAAAAACATAAAGGGTTTTTTCTGTAGATTTCTTTTGCCCAACTAACCCTGCTTTTGTAAGCAAAAGTGAACTGAACTTTTTTTGCTGTTAGTGGGAAAACTCACCCTTGGATTAAAGAGAATATCAACAGATGTTTTCTGATCTTTGACATCAGTACTGCTTGAGATAATTTTTTGGCTAAAATTTGATTCAGTTTTAAAAGTTTTTGATTGGAAAAACTTGCTGTTTTGATACACTACAAAGCCACACATTACGTTTCCTGTGAATAAAAAAAAAACCCTAAAATTAACAAATGAACGTAAGGTCAAACAAAAAACAAAGTCCCATGTCATTGTTCAACTGCATGGCTGCTTAATATTTGAGTAAAGGACAGTAAAAATGGTTTGCTGGCTGCATCTTTACTCAATTGCAATATGTAATTAACATATATAGCCTGTGGCTTGCCATTCTACTAACATTAATTTTTTTCCCTGAGTTTCAGGTTCCTTACCTTCTAAATGAGGACAAAAACTTCTGCCTAATCCATCTCAAAGAGGTATTGTGAAGATCTCATATGTAAAATAACATCTTGCTTTCTGAAATGCAGCAAGACCGAGTAAACATGACCTTCAGATAGCCCAAAGCCGCGTCTCTTCACCCACTGTTAAGACATCAGACCAGAAACAGCGAGCAAATATTAAGGCAGCTGTGCCTAGAAAAGTGGTCTGTGAGCCCTGTGTTCCGTTTTAAAGGGACTCAGCAGAAACCAGTCTATTCAGCCACAGAGCCAGGAGCTCATGTTGTGCATATTAGGGACTATTTAAGTAGAGCCAGATATTTTCTGTCATCTCTTGAACTATTTTTTAAAATGTTTTAAAATGTTTTATTTATTTCTGAGAGAGAGAGAGAGAGAGAGCAAGCGAGCAGGGAAGGGTCAGAGACGGAAGGAGATACAGATTCTGAAACAGGCCCCAGGCTCTAGGCTAGATGTCAGCACAGAGCCCGACATGGGGTTTGAACCCACCAACCATGAGATCATGACTTGAGCTGAAGTCAGACGCTTAACTGACTGAGCCACCTAGGCGCCCCTCATCTCTTGAACTATCGACTACTTCATGATAACCACAGGCTTTTCCCAAGGCTGGAAGGTGACATATTTCTTCAGGGGATTGGAAAAAGTGGTCACCTATTCCTCAGCAATCCTAAAAAAGTATGGCCACGGCAGAGGGTTTTGTATGGAGGCTGGCCATGGCAGTGGTCAAACAGAACGACCTGAGGAATGCCTTCTAACACTTGTACAACTGTTGGCATATTTAAAACAGAAGCAACAAAAATAATTACACATTTCAGACTGAATTAATTTTCTAAACTCTGCTTTTACTAGTGATATCAGAGAAACTAAAACACTGGCAGTGAGCCAGCATATTCAGTGTGATTGCAGAGAAAGGCAGACAATGTCCTCACAACTCCTATAATGTCCTCCACAGCCAGCCATGTTGTTCTATCCTCTACCCAGAAATAAAGAGATTGGTTTATGGAGTTTTTCCATGGCACATTGACCTTACCAAATTGTTCCTTCTCAACACTAAATAACAAAGTTAACCCTACAAAATGCAGTAAGGCTTCTTTCCATGTTTTTATAAAAGAATTACATGGTTGATATAGAAGTCAAATCTATAGAAATATATAAGTAAAAAACGAAAGTTCTTGTTTACCCCTCTCCTCATTCCTACAGTATTTTGATCATTTATTAGAAAATAATCACTTTCAACTAGATCTTCAGATTCAATAGAAGAAATTCTATTTACCTATAATTTTTAAAAATCTCTGTATTTTTAGATATACCTCTTGTCAGTTTTTTTCAAGTTTTTATTTAAATTCTAGTTAGTTAACATATAGCGTAATGTTGGTTTCAGGAGAATTTAGTAATTCATCAGTTACATGTAACAGCCAGTGCTCAGCATAACAAGTGCCCTCGTTAGTATCCATTTAGCCCATCCCTCTACCCACCTCAACTCCATCAACTCTCAGATTGTTCTCTATAGTTAAGATTTCCTATGGTTTGCCTCCCACTCCCTTTTTTTTAATTCCCTTCTCCTATGTTCAGCTGTTTTGTTTCTTAAATTCCACATATGAGTGAAATAATATGGTATTTGTCTTTTTCCAACTGACTTATTTTGCTTAGCATAACACACTCTAGTGTCATCCATGTCATTGCTACAGACTGGAGGAAAGACATTGCGACTTATATAACAAATAAAGAATTAGTGTTCAGAGTTGACAAAGAACTTCTAGTGACCAATAAGAAAAAGACAAACAATCCAGTAGAGAAATGATCATAGTGTTCAAATAGGCAAGTCACAGAGTAGAAAATCAGAATGTCTAATAAACACATGAAAAGATTTTCAAGTAAAGGAAGAAAAAAAATCTAAGATATCACTGAACTTCCAAGCTGCAAAAGGAATATAAAAATACTTGTAACATACTTATCAGATAGGCAAAAGTTAATCATCTTTATAACATATGAATAAATCTCTAAAAAGAGATGTTTCGTTTTTTTTAAAAAAAAGCAAGTTCCCAAAAAAATTAAATTAAAATTTAAAAAAGCAAGTTCCATACAACATGATACCACTTTTGTAAATATTTTAAATACCTGCAAAATAGAACATTTTATGTATAGATATATAAATATATAGCACAAGTTTAAAGACAAACATAAAAATGAAGCATACCAACTTCAGAAAGATGTTATTTCTGGGGAGGAGAGAGGGAAAAGATAGGACACAGGATTTCAGGTGTAGCTGTAATATCGTCCTTTTTTTTAGGGGGTCTGAAGGAAACATAGCAAAATTTGACATCAGTTTACCTTGCTGGTGGGTACACAGGTGGGCTTATATTATTTTGTGTACTTTTCTATATGCATGAAATATTCTTTAATTAAAAGAAAAACACAGAAAAGAACAAAAAAGACTTAGATTTAGTCTCTACCTTCACAAAGCATGTAACCAAAACAAAAAACAAATGGGAGCAAAATTCCACAGCATGCCAGACGCACGAATAATACCCCCTTCTTCTTTAGCAGTACCATTATGAATTCTAAAATATGTACTTTCTAGTATTGGATTTTTTTATTTGTGGAGAGAATAAAGTAAATGTGTGTGCCTATTTTGCTTATTATTATTGTCAAAATAATCATTTTTTTAAGACTTTGAAAAGTACCAACATTTCACATTAGACATAAAAATCTCTGAAGGGCCATATGCAATATGATAGGGAGCCCATGGTGAGCACCATAGTAGTAGAGATAATTAAGTCTCTTGCCACAAGATGGTGATTGTGCCAATTACATACAATATCCCAAGGCAGGCGCATAGGATGCATCTGAGCCTGTAAGTGCCATGCCACTAGTAAATATGGGCAGAATTTGTGACTATTATTTAATGTATTTTTAAATGTACAACTGACCTGTATTAGCTAGACTTTTGCTAAGAAAGAGATTGTGTCCATGATCAGAGTATTTCAGTTCTGCTCCCAGGGTTTTGAAAAGAAAAAAAAGAGAAAGAAATCATCTCTATCATCCAGAATAGTAGAGATTGCCATAATTTGTAAGAGTTCAAATGAACTCAAATGCTAATTACTCAGTATGAAACTAAGTAAACATTATTTTTCACTCTGGATTTTAAGTTACTAATTCCATAAATTTGAGGATTTTTTTTACTGGAACAAAGTTTGAGACCTACCACTTGAGGTATTGAGAAAAATTTGAAGTTCAGTCTCTGCCTCTGGATTAAGGTTGTTCGCATTTGTGTCCACAGTTGTGGAACCAGAAATGAGAGAATCACTAGCTCCTGCGAGAGGAAGAAAAGTAGAATTTTAGGTCAACATTTTTGCAAATAGGGCATTATTCATGGTTGATAGAAGAATGCTCTCTGCTATCATAAGTACATAAGACAAACAGCTCACCTTTCTTCACAGAGAAGAGAACATGGGTAGTTCCTGATGAAGTCAAATTAACAGACTGTAATGCTACATTAGGTTTCACCACTGGCTTCTCACCCACAGACAAGGAATAAGTCTCCATTTCCTTAATAAGCCTGTATAGAATAAAACATAACAATAATAGTCTAGAGGTTTGTCATAAAAATCAGTGGCATGTGTTCTCTCCCACATTCCAGTAGAAAGGCATGACCACAGAACTCATGTGATCACACAATGTCACAATCAACTTAAAATAATTTATTTTCTTCACCAGAGTCTTGCTTTGTTATATATACTTTTCCTAAAGTTCTGGTGGACTGTTTCCCCTGAAGGATACCTTGTATATAGATAGCTTGTATATAGACAGCTGGGACTCAAGAATGACAAACTTCCCCATAGAAATAATCTTTATTATGTTGCTCTTCACTAAAGGGTGGTGTTGCTACCCATAATTGTTAGGACATGCTCTTCTTGTTTCTCCAATAGGGAGAAACAATTTCTACATATTCAACTGCCTCCTCTCACATGAACCTCTTCGGGTATAAACTCTTGTTAAGTTGGTGATTCCAGAGGCAACAATTCATTTGGAACCATGTAACAGTAGAGTTCTGAGCTCACTGCCTTGGTTATTAACTAACCATTGCAGGTTTCCACAATGTTCTTTTCTACTCTGGATAACTTCAAAGACAGATTAGATGGAAGATGGGAGGGGGTGAGGACAACTTGTCAATTTGGTATTCTCTAAAAAAAAGTCATACGACCTTTTCTTTTCCTTGTTTGCTGTAAGAAATATTTGTACTATTTCTGTACTTGACAAAACAAAATCTCTATGTCTAAGATAACTGGTTCAGTCTAGTTTTCCCAGAAAGAAGGGATTTCATTAAAATGTAGTTGTTCCATATTCTAAATTTTTATTTTGGCCACTAAAGTATTTTTTCCCTTTCCCCAACGGACATAATAAAGAAATAAATTTTAAAATAATTAAAGATTGCCTTTATAAACAGAATGTGACAGTCATTCATATGGAACCATTTGAGTTGGTTTCTCTGTTTTAAATATTTTCCATTCATAACTCCATTTTCTGAATTTTTATCAATTCACACTAAAGAATAAAGAATAACAATCATACTCCACCTAAAGAATAACAATCAGACCCCAGAGCTACTTTCAACAGGAGGAATGCCTAACAAAATTTTGTTTTAAACTATTTCCCCAATGTCATGAACAACAGGGTTAATTTATGACAGAGCAGAAACTAGAAGTAAAGATGAAACATACAGGTTCACTGAGTCATGTTGATTACAAAGACTGCCAACCTTTCTTTTTCAAGACTTAATGTGTGTAAGTCAGGTATCACGTTAGTGATTTACATATATCATCTCAGTTGAGCCTCATAAAATACTTATTGAAGTGAGTCCCACAATTACTCCCATATTATACTGAAGAATCTGAGGCTCTCCCAAAAGATATGAACTTGGCAGAAATCATGGACCTACTAAATAACAGTGCTAAGATTTAACCCAGGACTGCTTAACTCCAAAGGCTGTGGCCATAACCATTATATTCTTCCAGAAGGAAGGCCCACAAACTCCTTTACTGGAACCTTCAACTGCCTTGGATGCCATGCCACACCTCTACTCCAGGATCCATAAAGCCCTGCCATGTTATGATACTATTCTTAGCTTCCCATGAGATCCCATAAGCCTTTTTACACTAAATCTCTGGCCAAGATAATTTAAGTGGGAATCTTTTAACCAAAGAAGTCTGGCTGGAACAAAATTACAAATAAAAATGTGAAATGTAAATGTACAGGGTGGTCAGTATTAGGGAAGCAGTTTTGCATTCCCCAATATAGGTAAACAAGGACAATTATGAGTCTGAATTTGACAGCAGAGTTCCAGGGTTATGGATCAGTCTTTGCAATACGTGGCCAAAATGGAGAAATGAAGTCTTAGATTCACTGATTGTAGTAGGGTGCCCTTGACAGCAGAGACTTTGTCTAGGCTCCCCCCATCTTAGACCAAGAGAATGGATGAATGGACGCTAGAGAACTTCACTAGTCTCCCCTTCTCCACTTAGGGAGTTTTAGCCCCACACTGTCCGCTTCTCTCCATAAGTAGAGAAGGGAACTCCAGTAGTTTAGGGATGCAAACCACAAATTGTAAGTGAAAGGGAGAAGTCAAAGTGAGATGGGTAACTGAAACCTGGTGTCTGCCAGGAGACCCTGTGTGTAGGCCCGGGTTGAGGGAACAGAGTTTGGAAAAGAATTGGTTTCCTTCCCCAGGGAGAGAGGAGCAGCTCTACTAAAGGCTGGAGGCTGCGTGCTGAAGGCTGAGGCAACAGCCTTATCTGAGTGAATAAGGGCCTGAGTCCACAAGGGCTTACGTACAAGATCACATGGGAGAGGGTCAACTTTCACAAGAGGATTAGAAAAGTAAGTAGACTAGAAATGCAGAGTGGGAAGAATTACTATGAGTGTGGTTACAGCATTTCATGTTTCAGTGTATCCCATATTTAAAATTTTTATTTGTCTTCTAACCACCTCCTCTGAAGCCATTTGAATATTACACATAAATCACACAGAATTGTTTTTTTCTCCATGTGTTAAGCCAGTACAATTCATAATTACTTATTGTCAGGACAGTACTTTCATCTGTATCATGATGTGTGACTTTCTCAGCCAAATCTCATAGTTGCTGTCTCCTCAATTTTCTCATCAAAAACATCCACTCTTCTCCTTTCCGTCTAGTAAGACTGCAAACCAGGGCCTCCCGCTCTGGAGGGAGCCCACTCTGGCTCTTGGCTCCATAGTCACTCAATAGATGCTGAGTCCCATAGCCACTTTCTTCTGCAACTTCAGGAGAAATGGGAGTCTCCACACTCCCCATGGGAAGGGCCCAGACTCCTACTGAAACTTGAAGTCATGAAATGCACCAGTTAAACTGCTAAAATGACAACCTCTATCAACAGGTCTCAGAATTATAACCTGTGAATGTTTTATGCATTTTATGCTTTTGTACTTTTTTTTTTTACTTTGAGGGCTCAACACTGTAAAAATTAGAAAACTGACAACTACTTCTAGGAATTTCTCCTAAAAAAAATAATGGGCCTTGTAAACAGAGATTATGTGGAAGAATGCTGATTGCTCAAAAATTTTAAAGACTTGAGGTAATCTAAATGTCCCTCAGCAGGAATTGATTAAAGTTCACTCATATTATACAGTATCTAAATTTTATGTCATAGGGGCACCAGGGAGGCTCACTCAGTTGAACGTCTGACTTGATTTCGGCTCAGGTCATGATCTCATGGTTCATGAGATTGAGCAACACAGAGCCGGCTTAAGTTTCTCTCTCTCAATCCCTGTGCCCTTCTTTCCCATGTGTGCACTCTCTCTCTAAAGTAAAATTAATAAAATAAAAATTTATGATATAAATATATAGATATTTATGTTAAAAAGATTCATAAGGTATTAAATGATGAAACAAGCTATAAACCTGTAAAGTATGTAATATGATACAAACACACACACATACAGAGGAAAGTATCTGGAAGAATACATACCCTCAAGTTACTAAAAGTGGGACAATTTTTAAAACTTTGCTCATCTAGGGCTGCCTGGGTGGCTCAGTTGGTTAAGCATCTGATTTCGGCTCAGGTCATGATCTCACAGTTCATGGGTTCGAGCCCTGCATCAGCTCTGTGTTGACAGCTTGAAGCCTGGGGCCTGCTTCAGATTCTGCGTCTCCCTCTCTCGCTGTCTCTCTCTCCCCACTCACATTCTGTCTCTCTCTCTCTCTCTCAAAAATAAATAGATATTTAAAAAATAATAAAAAATAAAAACAAAATAAAATTTTGCTCATCTATATATTTTCTTACTTTTCTATAATGAGCATGAATATTTACTTAAATTTTTTAAAAATAAAAAAACTTTATATGAGATAAAAACATAATGAATCCTAGTGAGGGAACTCTATAATAAAGTACATGAATTTTACAAATGTACAACCAAAACTATGCCAAATCACTAGAATCAAAAAGAGAGAAAGCAGGTAGAGTTGGATTCTTTTTTTTTTTCAATGTAGTCTTGGGACAGCTTTACCAAAATACACCAGTATCTCAAGGATAGCTGAGTTGTTGGTAGGGAGCTTTGTCCTCCACAGGCATGTTGTTATTTTCAGCTCCATGCTGAGAAAAGAGTTGGAAGAGCTCCTATTATGCATGCAGGTTCACTCTTGGCCATGCCAAACTAAGGCTAGGAAAAGAAGTCTAATCTAAATCATCCCAGTTGCTCTCTATATCCCAGGCCAGGACAACCCTGGAACCAGGAGTGAACATATACCACTCTGTCTAGGAAATGAAGATCGGGTGGAAAGCCAAGGTTTCAATCTTCATTCTCAAGGAATCAGCTAGTTAGTGCATCCATGAGAGAAATAAAGACAACTCTCTTAATGGCACATAGCGCTTTGTAATGTTTTCTTTCCCAATTGGAATTGTGCTTACGTTGCAAAAGCGTCATTATCAACTGCAGCAGCATTTTCAAAAACATCTTCTGGAGCGTCTAGAAGTTGACTCACTGTTGTTACAGCAACTTGTTTTGCCTGCCAGGAATAAGACACCAAATCATCATCATACATCATCATTATGATGAATTATTACAGAATCAAATGGCACCATTGGTATGGTAATCCAAAGGCAAGTGTTTTTCAAAATTGAAGATTTAGTTTTAGATGGAAGAGAGAATAAAGATAAAGCATGGTGGAAATTTAAATTGAGTCAATTGGGTTTCGGAATTTCCCCTCAAAGCAATGTCTTTCACAGAACCTCTACCCCATCCTGAGAACACAAAAGCAGATGCTTGGACACAAAAGCAGAAACAAAATAAGAGTGCAGGGCTCTGACTATGAAAACATCACAGCCCACAGTACTTTGTATAATTATACTTACTATTGAACTAAGTAAAGCAATTTCTAGTTTTGTCTGTCTTTCCATGTCTTTTTTTTTCTTCCCCTCCCCCCCCCCCTTTTCAACCTTGTGAGTTTTACCTCAGATGTAGCATTTCTGGATGCGTTGAAGATCTGTCCGACCACTTTAGCAGCCGAAGTGATGTTCTCAGCAGTTAAGCTATCACTATCATGTGTTAAAAACTGAGCTTCGCTAGAAATATTGTCCAGAGATTGTGCTGTATCATTGACTACCTGTTAAAAAAAAAAACCAACAGGGGCGCCTGGGTGGCTTAGTCTGTTAGGCGTCCGACTTTCGCTCAGGTCATGATCTCGCGGTTCGTGGGTTCGAGCCCCGCGTCGGGCTCTGTGCTGACTGCCAGCTCAGAGCCTGGAGCCTGTTTCAGTCTGTGACTCCCTCTCTCTCTGACCCTCCCCTGCTCACGCTGTCTCTCTCTCTCTCTCTCCTAGAAGTAAAAAATTTAAAAAAAAAAACAAACCCAACAACCTAACTTTATACAACTATGTCTAAATACGTTGCAAGCAATCACAGGTGAATAAACTGGAATTCAGCTGATCTTCAGTCTCCTGAATATCACATCCACTTGGTTTTTCATGTTTGCTTCTTTCCTTGTGTAAAGGACAAAGTACATGCAGGCTGGTGGCTTTTCCAACCTTTACTCTCTGCCAGGATTAATGAACTAAGACAGGCTGCCTTAGGGAGAGCAATGCTACTCAAGGTGGGATCCATGAACCAATGGTTCACTGTTTGTAACAGGATCCATAGGAAGGCAAGCACAGAAACTTAGAGTTACCTGTCAGAAACTTCTGCAATCGCCTGCTGTTAAATCAAATTATTCTTTCAATGATTTATATTCAGATGATAGCTACACTTGCATGAGCACAGCATAACATAGAGACTTGTTATAATCACTATGTCATACACCTAAAATGAATGTAACACTGTGTGTCAACTACACTTCAATAAAAAAAATCAGTAAATAAATAATTTAAAACTCTTTTAGAAGAGAAAAAACTAATTCGTATTTTAGATATCTTTTTTCATTCGATTTTCCTAGTAATTAATTCATTTTTATCACATTTTACAAAATTATTGGTCAGCAAGGAGTTGGAAAATTTTTAAACTACCTTTTCAACAAAGATAGTTTAGGAGACACTGACCTCAACCATAAGTCAAGGTACCAATTGGTCTCCTGAGTCTGGTGCTGTAAGACTATAAAACATGTTAATCCATAATGTCTTTTGCAGAGCCAGGTGTTAATGTGCGCATGTGTTTTCACTAGATGGCAGCATCATTTCAAAAATCAAACCAAGGTCACAGGCCATTCATACTTAGGGAACAGTTGAATATCATATCCAATCAGTAGACAGAAACAAAGAAAGCTATCATTCAATAGCTAGGTCCCTTCTCTGTGTAGGCACTTTGCTGGACATTTTATAGGCATTATCACATTTAATACACAAAACAACACTGTGAATAGGGCATCCTCATCCCTGTTTAAAGGTTTGGAGAGGGAAAGGAGTTCACCCAAGGTCCATGCAGCTTCAAAGTGTCAGAGCTGAGAGCCAAAAACTGGCTAGACAAACTCTGGAACATGAAGACTTTCCCCAGCCAGCCACATAGGTGACAAAACCTATGTGGTTGGCACCCAGCCCCACATCCCACTCCTATCCCCATCTTTACGTTAGACCCAGTCCCTCTACAATTAGGGAGCCAGTGTGGGACAGGGTTGCATTGAAAATAAAAAGCAGCTCCATCATTTTTTGGCTGTGGTTCACTGCACCTCTCAAAGACATGGTTTCATGTATAAAATAGGTATATTAATGCCTATTTATATAGTTGTTATAAGAATTAAATGTGATTTTAAAACACTTGCAAAATGTTAGTGCAGTATTTGCTACACTGTAAGGGCTCAAGAATTAGTATAATCACTAAAATTATCTATGAGAATAACATCTAACTCACAGAGATTCCATAAGGACTAAATGAGATAATGTATGTTACATGCCCTGCACTTGGACTACCTAAAGTTTCCTTCTCCTTTTTCTTGGCCCCAGGTATTAGCAATCCCATGCATTTGCATTTAGGTATATACTAGGTCAAAATAATATGCACGAAAAAAAAAACATCTAGTCTATGTATTTCCCACTTCACCTGCTCATGGGTACAGCCCTGAGACCAGCATTGGGGTTTGGGGTTTCCTGTCTCAAAAGGTCTTTGGTCATAGTTTTTATTTTTCTCTTTACTCTAATTCAGTTGACCATCAAAATACCTTCCTTCTGGTCTCAAACACCAGTGATCTATTTTCAGTCAACTCTTCACCACTGGTCTAAAAAGATGAGGCCATTTAAAATATGTTACAGATGGGGCGCCTGGGTTAAGCGTCCGACTTTCGCTTAGGTCATGATCTGGCGGTTCGTGGATTCGAGCCCCGCGTCGGGCTCTGTGCTGACTGCCAGCTCAGAGCCTGGAGCCTGTTTCAGATTCTGTGTCTCCCTCTCTCTCTGACCCTCCCCTGCTCGCGCTGTCTCTCTCTCTCCTAGAAATAAATAAAACATTAAAAAATAAATAAAAATTAAAAAAAATAAAATATGTTACAGATTATCATTTGCTAAAATTTGCTGAACCCATGTCCAACTGTCCTTTTTCACAAACAGGAGTCATATTCGAAAAAATAAATAAATAAAAGAGTGGCTTTAGTTACCAGTTTTTGTTATTTCTTATTTTTAATGTTTATTAATTTTGAGAGAGACAGACTCAGCCTGACAGGAGGGGGCAGAGAAAAGGGAGACACAGAATCAGAAGCAGTCTCCAGTTCTGAGTTGTCACAGCATAGACCCCAACACAGGGCTTGAACTGATGAGCCTTGAGATCATGACCCAAGCTGAAGTCTTAATCAACTGAGCCACCCAAGCACCCCAGTTTTTGTTATTTCTAATTTGAGAGTTTTAAAAGCATTGATTCAGGGACTCCTGAGTGGCTCAGTCAGTTAAATGTCCAACTTCGGCTCTGATCATAATCTCACGTTTCATGAGTTCAAGTCCCGCCTCAGGCTCAGTGCTGACAACTCAGAACCTGGAGACTGCTTCAGATTCTGTGTCTCCCTTCCTCTTTCAATCTCTCTCTCTCTCTCTCTCTGTCCCTCTTCTGCCTGCACTCTGTCTATCTCTTAAAAAGAAATAAATATTTTAAAAATTATAAATTTTTTAAAAATGTTTAAAAAGCATCAATCTGACCATCAGGTATCTAAAGAACCAAGACTTTACACAGAATCCGAAATTTTTCCAGCTACCCAGTACATGGACCATATGGCATACCTGCTTTTCCAGGGTCTCCAGATTTTGATTGCAATTTCCTACTGTCACATTTCCTAATACTATCTGTCCATATATAGAAATACTGCACAGACGGGTAGCTATTGCACGGCCCGCTTTAATAAAAAGAAGAAGAAAAAAATAATGTTTGCAAAGGTGGCCACCAATAATGTGCCCCTATACACATCCCCATTTCAGTATAATTTAGCTGCTTCTCCCACCAAAAAGTGGAGTCTATTCCTTCATTTCCTGAATTGAGGCTGGACTTAAAACTAGCATTGACCAAGAGAATGTTCTGTGAGAGCTCCAGAACCTGGCCTCAAGAAGATGAAGTTTCAGCCTTCACCCCCTTGGCACACTGTCCCACGACTGTTGAATTAGGAAGCAGCTCTAATCTACTAGAGAATGGGAGGCTATGTGGAAGAGAACTGAGGCCCTTCAGTCTTGCCATGTCAGCACTCCATCTGCCAGAATAAACCCACAGAACAATGAGAAATCTAAATCATTAATTCTTTTAAGCCACAAAATTTGGGGTGGTTTAATATACAGGAATGGAAAAGTGAATTGTGCAGTTACTACAGGAATCTTAAAGGCAGATATCATCTGTCTTGATTTTTAAATCTGGAATTTAAAAGACCAGTCAACTATTTCCTTTCTTTGAAGTCTGCAAGGCCTTCCAGCAACTAAGGACATAGGGCTTTGAATTGGATATGATGAGGATTGAGAGATGGGAAACAATATGAAAAATTCCTACTAGATAATGAATTATATATTGATCTTTCCTTCTTTATCCAAACCTGAGTAATACCTGAAAGGCAAAGAGTTCTACTGTATTATAGCACCTATTTGATATCTGATTGACTCTCAATACTTTTGAATCATTGGGTTTATTTCCTATAATTATCACTGAGCCTCCCTAATTCAGTGTCTTAAGAAGCTGTTAACAGATAAAATCACCTCCTACAAGTATAAATCTACTGACTCAAAATCATTGAAAATATTTTGGTCATTTGTTATATAAAATTGAATAGTTTAGAATTAATTCTTAATATAAAACTAAAAGTATATTTGCCAATATTTGGAATCTATATCCTTAAAATTATTTTACGGCCTCAATCTGAAATTCAAAGGTAAGTAAAATAAACTTTTTCATAATAGTTGCTCAGAAAATAAAAAGAACCAAATAAACGAACCAAATGAAAGATGGTGATTCTTTTATCCCAAAAACATTTAAAAAATCAAATGAGTGTGATGTTCTTTGATGCATATATTACTGACATTTTTACTGTTCCAGATTTGGTAGCACATAGTTATTTCTTGTAGCTGTATCTCTTTTATAAATTATAATGAAATATTTAAGACATATAAAACATATAAAAATTAAGACAGTATCCATGACGTACAGTAATAAAAGTAAGTAAGTACCCATACATGAAGACCCATGTCTTTCACCTTCTGAGCTTTTAATCAAGAGGCTAGAAGGATTTATGTAATGAATAGGATCATGAATATTTGAGTAGGTATGATATATGTGGGCAAAGGCAATTTGGATTCTGCAAATGGAATACTGGTTTACATAATCTCTTAGAATAAATAAGGTAAAGAAACACACAGGAAAGACCAGTACCTATAAATACTGTAGTGTTTCAAAGAGCTTGATATAAACAAAAATATATATCCAAATAAAATGTGAGATTCTCCCCAGGGTTATTACTGAATGAAGTTCTATCAAACATTTTCATAAATGATCTAGAATTGGCTGTTATTGAGATATACAGTGCTGTAAGAAATGATGATATCCTGCAGGAAGATGTGAGAGACAGGAGGAGTGGTCAAATGAATATCAATGCAAACAAAATTCAGGTAAAACATTGAGAGAAAATGGGGTTCTAAGCTGTCAAAAAAGGAATCTATGAATTTTTAAGGGCTACTCTCAGAAGATATTACCCAATACAGCATTGAAATAAGTCATCAAAACCCTGAATATCATCAGGGAGCATTTAAAAAATGTTTAAAAAACATTGTAAAAATGTTATTTGTTCCTTTATTCTTGGAATGTGTCCATGCACACAAGGTTGTCATGCTTCAAGAAAGGTATGATGAAACTAGGGAATGTTCCAAGATGGATAACTAAAATGACCAAGGAAAAAAATTAAAAATATAAAAAAATAAAAAAAAAAAATAAAATGACCAAGGAGATGAAGTACTACCAACTGTGGACAGACTTAACTGAGCAGCTCTACCTAGAAAGATGAAGTCTGAAAGTAGACATAGTACAAATCTATACCTAATGTTTAATATTCGGACAAGTTACATAACACGATGAGAAGATATTAACATGATCAAATACAGTAAACTGGGGAAATAAACCAATGGAAGAAGGAGTAAAAGGAATTTATAACTGATCTATATTATAGTTTTTAGGAGAATTAGAATTATGTTGCATCCTAAACTTTGAGCATTAGTATCATGAAAGGGAGCCAAACCCTTCCATTGAAACCTTCTTTGATGCCTCTTCCAGGAACTTAATACTAGTTGGAGGGATGCTAGGTATGACACAGCATAGCAATTCATATGCTTACACAGAGGAAATGTTTGGAAAAACACATACCATTTAAAGTGTTCTCGCCACATTTTTGCTTGGAAGGACCATATTTTCCCACTGCAATTTGGTCAAAAGTAAAACCATCCTTGGTACTGTTATTACAGACATTAGCTATAATGAAAAGACAAAATATATTTTGTTGTTATAAACTGTAATTTTCTTTTTAAAATTTCAAACCAGATAAAAGTCAAAGTTCAAAGCTTATTTAGTGTAATTTGAAGGATAAAAAACTTTAAGACTCATTGACATACCAGGAATTTCATATTTTTTTATCTGATTGAGTTAATACCATTAGAAAAACTAGTACATTAGATAATGGGTTTTAGTTAAAATGCACGATATATAACCTGGTAGAGGTAGGATGTGATAACTGACACATCAAAAAAGATAGTGTAATCAATAGTTGCAATCTTGAACATTAAACACATAGAGCCTATAGTACCAAAGGGCATGTGGGTCAAAGCAAAAAGACCAAAGTCATGAAGCATGTGAGATATACTGGCTTGTAGGAGTGCAGGAAACAATAGGAGTACATTTCTAGGGTTGTACATCTGAAGAAGGGAACGTAAAGTGTACAGAGAATTGGAAGCATACTTTAGATGAAGATGTAGCTTTGAAATATTATGTATAATATCCAAGACAGGAAAGTAACCTACATATCTATCAGTAGATGAATGGATAAAGAAATATATATATATTTACATATGTATATTTATATATATACTTATATTACATATATATGTTTGGTGGGAAGAGTCATATATAATGTATATTATATATTTTTATATATATTAATGAATTCACATATATTTTATATACATGAATATTACTTAGCCATAAAAAAGAATGAGACTTTGCCATTTGCAACAACATGGATGGACCTAGAGGGTATTACGCTAAGTAAAATAAGTAAAACGGAAAAGGAAAAATACTATATTACTTCACTTATATGTGGAATCTAAAAAAATGAATAAATAAACAAAAAACAGAAACAGATGCATAAATACAGAGTGGTTGCCAGAGGGGTTGGGGAATTGGTGAAATGAGTGAAGGAAAGTGGGAGATATAGGCTTCTAGTTATGGAGTAAATAAATTACTAGAATAAAAGGTACAGCACAGGGAATAAAGTCAATGGTACTATACCAGCATCGTATGGTGATAGATGGTAGCTACCTTTGCGGTGAACATAGCATAATGGGTAGAGTTGTTGAATCACTAGGCTGTACACATGAAACTAATGTAACATTGTGTGTCAATTATGCTTCAATTAAAAACAGAAGTAGCGGGGTGCCTGGGTGGCTTAGTGGTTAAACGTCCGACTTTCGCTTAGGTCATGATCTCACGGTTCATGGGTTCGAGCCCCGCATCAGGCTCTGTGCTGACTGCCAGCTCAGAGCCTGGAGCTTATTTCAGTCTGTGACTCCCTCTCTCTCTGACCCTCCCCTGCTCATGCTGTCTCTCTCTCTCTCTCTCTCTCCCCTAGAAAAAAAAATAATACATAAAAAAATAAAAAAAGAAGTAGCTTTGAACTTTGATTCTGAGAGAGCACTGTCTGAAGTCAAACTGCTAATTTAACATCTCATTAAAAGAAAGAATAAAAAGACAAAAACTTCATCTCAATGTATAGTTAGATAGGAAGATGTACTTTGGTCTCAGAAAAGTTAAATATATTAGAATTGTGATATCTGAAATGGGGTAATATAGCATAGTACCAACCAGCAGGACCTGAGAAAACCATATCACCCATTGCCTTGAAGTTAACAGCGCAACCAGAAGGAAAAGCATGTCAGTTTACAGAGAAACTTGATAGTTGGGAAACATACTAGATATATCTTGAACATACAAGTAAATAGCCCAAGAAGAAGACTCAGCTTTTACTATCAAGCTAATAAACGCATCCTAAAGCCATCGTCATTAAACCCATTGTTACTAAATCATTAACAGATGCATTTGAGAAGCTTTGCTGTTGTCCTCATTAACACGAGCCACCTAACCTCATACCCTAGTACCATCCCAGGTAACTTACGGATTGTACATCTCCATCCTTTCCACATTTCTGGACAAATGCATCTGCCATTTTCCCAGGTTCCACCATTACTGCAGAGGTATATTTCGGTGTTTAATGTGGGGGTTGATGTTCCTTAAAAAACAATAAATAATAGAATAGTTCACAAACTGGCTGATCAGTTTCTCCTTTTGGGTGTGAAGCCTTTAATTTCTACATGTAAAACAATTACCTTGAGTACCACTGGAGAAGTATTTTTTGTAACATCATCATGAACAAAAATATATATTGAGAATTTACACAGGATATACAATGTATAAGAGAGGTTATTAATACCAAAAAGCTATATTTAAAAGACACAATACTTTGAACAAGGAGATTATGTTGGCAGCCATTTTCTGAACTCATAGGTTGAGTAAGAACTCCTTATGTGGTTAAGGTAATTTGCACGGACTCTTACCGTCAGATGGTGACCCTGATATCTACCCCCACCCAATTATTTCAGCTTGAGTACCGACCCCAAAGTCACCTTGCTAATTGGTATTAGGAATCTTATGCTTCCCTCATCCCTCCCTCACCGACACCATCCATCTTTCAGAGACCCCTGGACCTGGCAGAAGCGGGACTCTGGCAAGATTAGAATCTACTGAGGGAAACAAGAGAATAAACAGATTAGATAGATATAGATAGATAGATAGATAGATAGATAGATAGATAGGCAGGCAGGCAGGCAGATAGCCAGTTAGGACACCTAAGTCAACATGCAGATTTTTTCAGGCTTTAAGAACACAGAAGAGAGATGTTTAGGACAGAGGCAATTTATCCAGGGATGACTTTCCAGAACAGGTGGTATTTGAATCAGATTTTAAGACTAATCTAGAAAAGCCAGATAAAAAAGGATGGCCCCAAACAGGCAGGATACAGAGTACAAAATCACAAAATATGGAAAGTTCTGATGTGTCCAAGGAACATAGTAAAGTTTAACAAATAAGGAACATTAGTTCTATGTGGAGTAACAGCAGGACATAGACTGGATTATGAGTGGGTTTATACACCTAGTCAAGGAGATGTAATCCTGCAACAGTCTAGAGAGAGCTGTTTAAAATTTTTTTAATGTTTATTTATTTTTGAGAGAAAGAGATAGCGTGCGCGCGTGTGCACACACACACACAACACGCACACACACACACACAAAAGTGGAGGAGGGGCAGAGAGAGGGAGACAGAGAATCCGAAGCCAACTCTGTAATGCCATCTCTTAGCCTGACATGGGGCTTGAATGCACAAACTGTGAGATCATGACCTGAGCTGAAGTCAGATGCCCAACTGATTGAGCCACCCAGATGCCCCAAGTCTAGAGAGATCTTAAAACAAGGTGGTAACATAATAAGGAATGTGTTTTAAAAAGCTGCCTCAAGCAATATGAGAAGTGACTGAGGCTAGGAGGCAAGGAAGGCCAGTTAAATGGGGATCAGACGTAGAGCAGTGGTTTTGAGGAAGTTAGGTGTCAACAGATTCAGGAAGCATACCTAGGACAAGATTGTAAGGATCTAGTGATTATTTTGAGCTGGGAAGACTGAGGTCTCTACATTGAAGATAGGGTGGATGGTAAACAAATTAAGCTTAAAAATACACAAGGCAGAGTTCCTGCTCCAATAATGATAGAGTAGATTGTAAAATTTACCCCTCCCACAGATTACACTTCTAAATTCTGGACAAAAGTTTAGGGGTGCCTGGTTGGCTCAGTCAGTTAAGTGTCTGACTCTTGGTTTCAGCTCAGGTCATGTACTCATGGTTTGTGAGATACCCCCCCCCCCATTGTCAGGCTCTATACTGACAACACAGAGCCTGCTTGGGATTTCTCTCTGCCTCTCTCACCCTCCCGAGCTTGCTCTCTCCCTCTCTCTCAAAAAATAAATAAATAAACATAAAACCATATATTAAAAAATATATATCCAATATTTAGTCTTTTATGTCTGAATACTTTGTTAATGTAATATTATCCAGATTCATTTATGTTGCTGTGTTTATTGCTAAATAATCAATAATCCATTGTATGAATATACAGTAATTTGTATATTCAGTTAATGGACTTTTTTTTTTGGGGGGGGGCGGCTACCATGAATAGAACTGCCACAATTGGGTTCCCTGAAACACAAATTCTGAATTGAAGATTTATCTATATAAAGGTTTCAGCATTTTGGAATCCATACTTGTCAGAGTGGGGGAGTCATGGAGGCAGGACTGGGTAGAGGAAGAAATAGAATTGCAAGAGAGTTAGAGTTGGAATGAGCCTTCAGAGGTGATGTCTCTGTTAGTTATCTATTGCTGCAGAATAAGTCACCCCAAAACTTAGTGGCTTAAAATGGCAATGATCATTTATTCTTCAGGGATTCAAGCACAATAAAACTAATCTATAGTGATAAAATCTGAGTAGTGTTTGCACACGGGGTAGGGAGTGGGGGTGAAGAGATTGACACTTGAAGAGCCAAAAATTAAGTCCTCCATTAAGAGAAACCTCGGGCTGCACGTAGCCCCAGTCCCAGTCCTGGGAAAAGCCTCCGACTGTTCAAGGCTAAAGCCATCCTCAGACAGCCCTCAGTTCAGCTAATCAAAAAGTAAAAAGAAACATTCCTATGGTCTGAGTCAAGGCTGGGAACTGCAGATACAAACTAGCCAATTTCTCACAGCTTGCCTGAACTCCACGTGGGCCCTTTGAACTCACCTCATAATTGGTCATTTTCAAAGGATTCTCAAAAGTCATGATTGGGTCCCACCAAAAGTAATGAACACCTCACAGATACTGAATGGTCAAAGCTGTTAGCAGGGGTGCTGTGCAATTGTAACTGGTGTTTATGTGATGATGCTACATGTGCAGTAACACCCCCATCCCTTACTCCTTAAAAACCCAACTCGCTCTTGTTCTTGGCTTCACCTTGCTGCCATGACACCAGTAGGCTGGTGAGCCCCTGCTTGAGCTTGTAATAAAGACCCTTTTGTATTTGCATCGATGCCGGCTCCTTGGAGATCTCTGGGACTCGCGACTCGGGCACAACACACTTACAGGTACAGCAAACAGTGAACATGGCCTAGCTTCTAGCTAGTTGAACATAAAACCTCACACGAAAGGCCTGTACCTCAATTCTTCTTGTCTAACCCATCATGTCTAACTTTCAACCAAAAAAACACAAAGCATGCCAAAAGGCAGAAAACAGCCTGAATAGACAAACCAAGCATCAGAAACAGACTTATATATGGCAGATATTTTGTAATTATCAGACCAGGAATTTAAATAACTATGGTTAATATCCCAAGAGATTTAATGCAAAAAGGAGTAACATGTAAGAACAAGTGAGTAATATTAGAGAGATGGAAACTCTAAGAAAGAATCAAAAGAAATGCTAGAGACCAAAAATATTGTAACAGAAATGAAGAATGCCTTTGATGGGTCCATCAGCAGACTGGACAGGTCCAAAAAAAGAATAACTGAGCTTGAACAAATATCAGTAGAATTTCCTAAACTAAAATACAAAGAGAAAAAAGAATGAAAAATGTAAAAGAGTATCTAAAAACTATGGACCAAAAGGTGTAACATACACATATTGGTAATACTAGAAGAAAAGGAAAGGGATAAAGGAACAGAAAAAATATTTGAAGCCTTAATGTCTGAAAATATTCCAAAATAAATGACAGACACCAAATACAGATCTAGATCAGAGAACACCAACCAGGATAAATGTCAAAACAAAAGCAAAAAAACAAAAAGAAAAACAAACAATAACAATGAAACTACAATTAGGCACATTTTATTCAAAATTCAGAAAATCAATGACAAAGAGAAAATTTCAAAATAAGCCAGAAATGTAGTGGGAGGAGGAAGTTTATCTGTAGAGAAACAAGTATAAGAATTACATTGAAACTCTTCTCACAAGGTATGCAAGCAATAAAATACTATACTGAAATATTTAGTATTGGAAGAAAAACACACTAATAAACAATTCTGTATCCAAGGAATTATCCTTTAAAAGTAAATGAGAAGTAAAGACACTCAGACAAAAATTGAGGGAGTTTGACACCAGTAGATCTGCCTTACAAGAAATGTTAAAAGTTTTTCAAAGAGAAGGAAATTATATAGGTCAGAAACTTGAATCTATGTAAGAAATGAAGAGCATTAGAGAAGGAATAAATGAAGGTAAATAACAATCTTTTAGTTTTTTATTCTTTTTTGTTAATTTTTTAAATGTTTATTTATTTTTGAGAGAGAGAGAGACAATGGGGGAGGGTCAGAAAGACAGAGAGACAGAATCTGAAGCAGGCTCCAGGCTCTGAGCTGTCAGCACAAAGCCTAACATGGGGCTTGAACTCACAAACCGTGAGATCATGACCTAAGCTGAAGTCAGACACTTAATCAACTGAGCCACCCAGGTGCCCCTAGTTTTTTAATTTTTAATTGCTCTTACAAATAAGTTTATTCAAAATAATAACAGCAATGATGTATGAGGTAAGTATAGCTTATGGAAAAATGAAATAAATGACAGAAAAAAAATGTTGTAAGGGAAGAGAAGGAGGAATTGGTAATACTGTACTGGTAATAAGTCCTGGCAGTACTTATGAGGCTACAGACTGATATCAGAAAGTGGACTTAGATTAGGGACTTAGATTAGTTGGGCGTCCAACCTTAGATTTGGGCTCAGGTCATGATCTCATCCTTTGTAAGATTGAAAACCTCATCAGTCTCCCAAAGAGCCTGCTTGGGATTCTGTCTCTCTCTGCCCTTCCCCAACTCATTCTCTTTTTCTCTCTCTCTCTCCCTTTCTCTCTCCCCACACACAAAATAAATAAATACACTTAAAAAATACATTTTGGGGGCACCTGGGTGGCTCAATCAGTTGAGCATCTGACCAGATTTCAGCTTAGGTCCCGATCCCAGAGAAATGTGGCTCTGCACTGAGCATGGAGCCTGCTTGGGATTTTTTCTCTCTCTCACTCTGCCCCTGCTCCTCTCCCCCACTTGCTCTCTCTTTCAAAAAAACAAAAAAAATTGGTAGTTACTCTAGAGTTTGCAATATACATTTACAACTAATCTAAATCCACTTTCTTTTTATTTTAAACAAATAATTAAAAATCAGAGCAAAA